GGGACATTCCGCACGGAGCCCTCTCCTCGCCCTCCTTCTCCGATAGCCCTGCAGACTGGGCTCCAGGGGCAGTGTTAGGATGGAAATGGGGGAGGCTGCGTCGGCCTGTCTCCTCGCCGCTTTCAGCCAGGGCTGGGCCGGGCTGGGCCGCAGCAGTCCCTCAGTTGACGCTGGCCGGGGTGCCTGGACAGGCAGATTGGCCTCGGCCTCTGCACGGCGGAGCTCGGCCGCTGTCCCGAGACCCCTCCTGACCGGGCGGCACCCAGGCTGGAGCCAGGTTTCTGAGTGGGGCAATCTGCTCACCCTTGGAAGCAGTCGGGACCACGGAGGCTGTCCCACTGAGAGCAGAGCAGCCCGGCGAGTCTCCCTCGGGGCTTCAGGTGCTAGCCTTCCACGGTCCGGGCCGCGCCTTCCTCACCTGTGAATTGGGGCTGCTCTGTCTCCAAGGACAGTCATGGGTGCACGGGAGCTCAGACTCCCACTACGTTCGTGACATCATTCTTTCTAGAAGTTCTAGAAGCCTAATGGCTTCCCAGGCAGAGGGCAGAGACTATCCGCCCAGATTTACGGCAGGCAGAGTAAACTGAGGTGAAGGAAGTTTTGTTTTCCTTGGGACCACGTGACAAAGAACCAAAATCTCGTCCTGGGGCAGGGGGGGAGGGGCAGACCCCTGCAGGTGGCCCTGGAGCACGCGCCTCTGTCTGCCAGATGTGGAGACTGCTGTGGTCCAGCTGAGGGTCCTAGAAGAGGGTCTGGCTCCAGTGCAGCACGAGGCCTTGTCCTACAGGAGCGGACCAGAGAGCCTTCACAAACACAGCAGCAGAAGCCATGCAGAGCATCGGCAGAGGGGGCCTTCCCCGGACAGCCCAGGGCAGGAAGCAGCGCTGCCCAGGTCCAGACTCTGGGCGGGGCGCTGCCCCACGGGTGCAGGGGAGCCCTACCTCGTCCAACATGGGGGTCCCCAGGACACACATGGCCCTGGCATCAATGGCCCTGCCCACTGTCTCTGGGCATCCCAGATCAAGCTGCCGGTGCCCAGTCTCTGCCTGGAGGTAGAGGCCAGCCTGCTCTGTCATCTGCAAAGCAGCCCCAAGCCTTTCGCTCCTTGTTCCATGTATCTTTGTCCCTGCCACGTGAGGGAGCAGGGGAGGTGGCCTGTGGGAGGGGGGTGTCAGCAGTGACGTGGGAGCCAGACAGCCTGCTGATAACCTCCAGCGACTTCGTTGTGGTTTTTAGGTTTCTGCCAGAGGGCACGTGAGAGATGAGAGATGCGGAGAGAGGAAAGTGAGAAATCACTGCCCAGGGGAATGGCCACGCTGCTTCCCTTCTGGGATCTGGGCACACACACCTGCCTGGCATGATTTTTAAGCCTCCAGGTCCAGGACTCGAACTGTGTTTAGCCACATGAGAGTCCAGTGCCTTAATCATCAGTGATTTTTCTGAAGGGCACCTGGAAGCTTCCCCAGGCAGCCAGGAGAAAGCTCCGCCGAGACCATCTGACTTCCCAGGCCGGTGCCATCGCCGGGGTTAGCCACCGAGGCAGTGGCGCGTGGGCAGCTTATAGGACAGACTCCATTTAGCCCACCAGGGACAGTTCCTGCTGTTCCTTCTGGCCAAACCCACAGCTGGAGTCACCCCAAAAGTGGCAAGGGGCAGGAGGAGAGTTCCCCAAGGGACAGCCGACACCATCCCAAGATGCAGTCAGGTTTGATTCCAAAGGAGGAAGCACTGAGCCTCAGGACACAGGCCCAGGGCACATGTGAGGGCAAGCCTGCTAGCAGGGCTGCGGACAGCAGGAGGGGATGCTCTGCCTGGGGGCGTCCGCGGGGTGGGAGTGGCGGACATGGAGGGTGTGCGGGGCTCAAGGGGCGGGCAGCGGCTGGGCTGGTTCCCCCAGGTTCAGCAACATGCTGGGACGTCCCTGGCCCAGCCCGGGTTTAAGCCTGTGGGGGAGCACTACAGCAGTGGGACCACGGGGCGGTCACGGCACCCCATGTCTCTCGGTCAGGACACAGAGAGAGACGGGACCGGGGCCCGACTGGGGGAGGAGAGTGTCTGGGAAAGCAAGGAATTCATTCATGAGGATGAGGAAAGGGCCAGCCCATGGCCTTAGGGCGAGGGGAGCCAGATTCCACATGGCCAACCGCGCAGTTCAAGTCCCAGCTCTCGCAGCTTAAAAAACGCACCAGGCATGAGTGCCTCGAATCCGAACAGGATGGAGAAACGGAGAAGGGATTGCAGCGCGACCACCCCCAGAGCGGTGCTTGCTCCTCTCCTCTCTCCGCCTCTCTCTGGCGAGTGCACACATCCTCTGGCAAAAACAACAACAACCAGTCATAATAATAATAAATAGTGAAGATGGGGTGCCCATGGAGTGCCGAGGTAAAATGCAGTCTGTGAGGGTGACCCACCTGGGGAGAGTCCTGCTCACGTCTGGAGCCACCCTGAGTGTGCCTGGTACCCCGAGCCCCTAATCTGGGCTGGCTGAGGCCGGGGCGGATGGCGGCGCCAGGACCCTGGCGGGGTGCGGTCACTCTGACTCTCACAGGGGAAAGACTGAACTCAGAATAAATATGTACAGGGCTGAACAGATCCAGCCCTGAGGAGACCCTCTCAGGCACGGAAGCTTCTGGTTCTTCGGCTGAGGCATGAGTGTCACGTGAGTGTCTGTGCCCTGCGCAGCAGGGGCCACGGTTAAGCCCTTGGACTGGCGCCTGATGAGCCTGGATCGGAACCTGCCCCAGCTACAGGCCGTGTGCATCACATCCCGTCCTCTGAAAACACAGGATTGGGGCAGCGCCGTTGACTAGCTGGGCTTTAAGGATCGAATGATCTAATAAATGTGTTTCTTAGCACTGAGTCCGCCTCATGGTACTCAGAAATTAAAGCTGTTATTTTTTTAATTGTCAGCGGGCTCATGTGCTGGCCAGAGAGAGAGACAAAGGGCAAGGGGGAGGGGGACTCCCAGTGGAGCACGGCCACGCCACAGTCCTTCATCTCTCCACCTGGTCGGCATCTGGGACACACGTGTGCATGAGCCCAGGGTGATTTTCAAGCCACCAGGCTGGGGATTAGAACTGCAGGTGGCTAAGCGGAATCCAGCTTCTTTAACCATGAGGCTGTGGGACCAGCCCGAAGCTATTATGGTTATTATTATTACTAGTTGATGTTTTTGCCATAAGGTGTATATACCTGCTGGAGAGAGACAGAGAGAGAGAAAGTGAGAAACCCCCCCACACACACCCAGGGATGGCCACGCTGCAATCCCTTCTCCTCCATTCTCTACCCGGGATTTCAGGCACAATCGCACCTCGTGTGACCTTTAAGCCACTGGGTCTAGGACGCAAACCGTGGTTGGCCATGTGGGAGTCTAGTGCGCCGGCCACCATGCTACTTGCCAGCCCCCTAAAGCTGTTACTTTTATTTGTTTGTTTGTTTTCAGAGAGATCTTTTGCTATAGGGTGTGTATGCTTGCCAGAGAGACAGTGAGAAATCACCCCCCAGGGAGGATGACCACACCGCAATCCCTCCTCCTCCAGTCACCTTTTGGGATTTGGGGCATGCACACACAAGTGCCCAGTGTGAGTTTTAGTCACTGAGTCCGAGACTTGAACCACGGTCGATGACGTGGGAGTCCATTGACGTAACCATTACGCCACCTGCCCCCCCCCGAACGCTAATATTATTTGCAGAGATTCTCACATCTCTGCTAACTTTCTCAGAGTTAAGCATTTTAAATGCGTTCAGGCAGAATAGCAGGAACAGCGGACTGCACACCGCACCCGTCTGGGCGTCCCCTGGGAGTGGGGCACATGCTCCGCCCACAGCACGCAGCCTGAAAACTGTGGCCACGACATCCTGCCTGTCTCCATTCCTCACGCAGACAGGGAATAATGGCACCCAGCGCTTTAATGGTGGGGCTGCCCAGCAATTTGTCACATTAGTAAGTGCTCAGACAGCCACAGACGCCCGTCAGACGGCGGGCCATGACCACATGGCCAATCAGACACCCCTGCATTTTCCTGTCTGCTGCTAAAAGGTCTCAAATCACCCACGGGAGACAGGGAGGCGGAAAGGAAGGGGACAGGCCCGGCCAGATGACAAGAGACCAAGGAGCAGCACGCCCCTTGCTGGTTCCGAGGTTGGCCTGACCTCTTTGGAACCTCTTTCTCGTATTGATGCACCCATTTATTCGACAGGAGGTCTGAGTGCCCGGTACATGCCCTAAGAGCTCGAACACTTCAGGGAACAGGACAGACCCAAAATTCCGCCCTCGTGGACCTTAGGCTCAATGGGGGGAGAGACCACCAGAAACCAACACGAAACAGGAGCAAACGGGACCAGCAGAGATTCCCAGTGGGTGGTCATGGCGGTAACAGGTGACGACCCCTGTGGGGGCATGAGCACAGTGGCCGTTAGTAAACTGCTCTCACTATTTTCTACACAGTGCTCCCAGTTTTCCCAGGTCTCTAAACACTCAGTGCGTACTTTGTACCCAAGAACTGTTCGTTTATTCACCCAGCAAACAACTACTGAGCATTTATTAGGGGCTATAGTCTGTGCTGGGCACTGGGATGTAAGGAATCCCATAAAAGAGTGTGGCCCCTACCCTGGAGCGCCACAGCTGATGCTGCGTCAGAGGGAGGCCCCTGGGGTCCAGAGGTGGGAATGACCTTCGGTCTGTTTCCGGGAATCGGAGCAGAATTCTTCACCCATAACATTTTTTTAGAGATTTTTGCCGAAGGGTGCATGCACTCACTGGAGAGAGAGAGAGGCAGTGACAATGAGAGGGAAAGTGAGAAATCACACCCTTGGGGGGATGGCCACACACTGCAATCCCTTCTCCATTCTCCTCCCAGATCTTGGGCAAGCATTCACACGTGCTTGCGTGATTTTCAAGTCACAGGTCTGGGACTTGAACCATGATCAGCCAAGAGAGAATCCGTGACATAACTGCTATGCCATCTTCTGGCCCCTCACGGGTGTCTTTTTACCCTCAGACCATCCTAGCGATGGCAGGTGACTCTAGGAATGCTACAGACCAGGACATGGAGATCGGAGCCGCTTCCCGGGACCCCAAGAAGATGCCCAAGCAGGCCCGCGAGTCCGCCCCCATCGCCACGGACCGCACGCGGCTGCTGGCGGAAGGCAAGAAGCCCCGGCAGGGCTACATGGAGATACATGGAGAGGAGCGGTAAGTGCAACGTGCACCACGGCAACGTGAGGGAGACCTACCGCTACCTGAGCGACCTCTTCACCACGCTGGTGGACCTCAAGTGGCGCTTCAACCTGCTGGTCTTCACCATGGTCTACACTGTCACCTGGCTGTTCTTCGGCTTCATCTGGTGGCTCATCGCCTACATCCGGGGCGACCTGGACCATGTGGGCGACCAGGAGTGGATCCCGTGCGTTGAGAACCTCAGCGGCTTCGTGTCTGCGTTCCTCTTCTCCATTGAGACGGAGACGACCATCGGGTATGGGTTCCGGGTCATCACGGAGAAGTGCCCCGAGGGCATCGTGCTGCTGCTGGTGCAGGCCACCCTGGGCTCCATCGTCAACGCCTTCATGGTGGGCTGCATGTTCGTGAAGATCAGCCAGCCCAAGAAGAGGGCAGAGACGCTCATGTTCTCCCACCACGCAGTCATCTCCCTGCGGGACGGGAGGCTGTGCCTCATGTTCCGGGTCGGGGACCTCCGCAGCTCCCACATCGTGGAGGCGTCCATCCGCGCCAAGCTCATCAAGTCCCGGCAGACCGAAGAGGGCGAGTTCATCCCCCTGAACCAGACGGACATCAACGTGGGCTTTGACTCGGGCGATGACCGCCTCTTCCTGGTGTCCCCCCTCATCATCTCCCACGAGATCAACGAGAAGAGTCCTTTCTGGGAGATGTCTCGGGCCCAGCTGGACCAGGAGGAGTTCGAGGTGGTTGTCATTCTGGAAGGGATGGTGGAGGCAACAGGTAAGACGCTTGGTCCTCCTCGGCCAGAGCCCCTGAGCACACAAAGCCAGGACGCCACGAGACACAGTGTGCGTACGAGAGCCCTGGGACGGCACGCCTGCCCTCTCGGCCCTGAGTCACGTTCTGAGAGCGAGTACTGTTCCTCGGGGGGATGGCCTAGCCACGGTGGGGCAGAGGGGGCCACGTGGGAGGCCCAGGCATGGCTCCTGGCTTGGTGGGTGTGCTGTCATCTCAGGCAGTTGGGTGGCTGGGCAGGGGGTCATGATGGTGACCCTGTCAAATATGCCTAACTCCACCCTTTCCCCCCCCATCTCTCTTACCCAAAAAGTGCGGGAAAGGAAATGGCGGGAGTCATAGTGGGTGGCACGGACGGACCTTCCTGGCTTCCGGACACCACCCCAGACATTCTCCCTATGCTGTCGGGCGTGACACCTCCACATCCTAGGACTCACTTTCATTAAGGCCCAGGTGGAGAAGCTGGCGTGGTTTAAATCATCCATCCAAGAACCAGGGTGTGGACCAGGGCAGGGCGCTCCAGAGACATTCTCGTTTCCAACTGGCCGGGCTGCCCTGCCCTGGAACAGGGCTCCCACTGGAGTTCTCGGACCCAATGACATTGGAAACTTGGGTGCAGCTGGGGTGAGCAGGGGGACTTCAGGGCACCTCCACGTGCTCCGGGTATGCTCCTGAGAAGAGGGCACTCTCAGCGTTCCCTGAATTCTAGGGTTCTCTCAGCATGCCCCAAGCCCCGGAGAACACAGAGGCTTTCAGGGGCCTCCCCTCTGGCCCAGCCTGCCCCCGGCTTTCCTGCAGAGGGCAGCACGGCGAACGCGGGCATGCAGGGCTCCTTCCTGGCACCAACATCCATCCACAGACACACTCCCTGCTCAGGACCTGCTCCGGGCCAGTCCTGGCTCCTGGCCAGGCAGCTTCAAGGACCACGGTCTGCAGGAACCTGAGCCCTGGCTTAATGCTGCAGCACCCAGCCCTTTTGGGGAGAGGGGGCCCCAGCAAGGCCCTGCACCCCCTTACTATGTCCGTTCTCCCCAAGGCCTTAACAAGTACTTGAAGAAAACTCCCTCTTGCTCAGAATGATGTGTATCTTTTTTCTATTTTCTTTCTCCTCTTTAGTCACGGTAGAGTGTGTGCATGTGCACAAGAGAGACAGAGAGAGACAGAGAGACAGCCAGAGATAGAGGCAGAGACAGAGAGGGAGAGAGACAGTGCCACCTTCCCAGGGTCCGGTCCTCCAGCCTGCCAAACTTGGGCACCTACGCCTGGGCCCAGTGTGTCTCTGGATGACTGGATGGGACTAGAACTGCAGTCACCATGTGGGATCAGGCCTCTCTGGAGCAGCGCATTCCCACTGCACCACAGAGCTGGCCCTCATCCCCACAGACAGTGCAGGGCCACTTCGGTCCCATTTCACAGACATGGATGCTGAGCCCTGAAAGGGCCGTGAGTGCTCACACCATGTCTTACTCGTAAGCCCAGAGCTTCCTCCACCACACCAGGCCGAACCGAAGCCCTGACATGCCGGACTGTCAGCGCAGAGGCCAACCCCACCTTCCTGGCCTCTGGGAAGCTGGCTTCTGGGCGGGGCCGTAGACGTCCACAGGCCTTCCCCTCCCAAGCCAGGGAATGGGGCACGGTGTGCTGGCAGGCTCCAGGGACCAGTGCCACAGGAGTCTGCTTGGCCATCTGCTGAGGGCTGGAGCAGGCCAGGGCAGCAGACGATGGCACGGCAAAAGCCCCTGAGGCCAAGGACAGTCAGGATGCAGGACACTCTCTCTCCTGCACAGCTGGAAGCTCGCTGGCCACCCTGCCCTTGGAGCTGGGGCCTAATCAGCGCACAGGCTGTGTTTCTGGGGCAAGAACTCCAAAGTCACAATAGAAGGGAACAGGACAGAGACTTGGGGACAGCACTGGCCACCCTCACACCACCCATGGACTGGGCGGGACCCAGGGCCGTAGGGGAAGAAACTGCCATGCCTGCTCCCATCTCCCTGAATTGGATGGCTTGTCACTCACAGGAGCTGTGCATCAGGGCACCCTGGGCGGGGTTTGAGGAGCACAGCTCGCCACCCCCCGACGTGTTCAGGCAACGTTGCTTACCTCATGTGTAAACAGGAAGGGCCGCCTCTCGCAGGGATGTTGGGCTCGTTAAACTGTTAAAGGAACGCCACGTGGAAAGCCTGGGCCTGACACCTAGGGAGTCCTTGCAGGTGCATTAAGAAGTGCCCACAGTCACATCCCAGCAGGAAGGCCGGGGAGAGGGCAGAACAGCCCAGGGCCTTGCCCGAAGGGCCCCGCGGAGGTGCTGACCACTGTCTATCCCACGGCACCGGGAGCCTGAGGTCGCCTGGCCTGGGGCTCGGCCAGTCAGTGCCCAGCTGGCGCCCCACACGTCCGCTGCGGCCAGGGACTCAGGCCATGAGGGGTGAGGGCTGGATGGAGGGTATGGGTAACCCAGCAGACATCCGCAGAGAGCAGAGAGCGGGCCTGAGATGCCGTGTGTGTGTGTGTGTGTGTGTGTGTGTGTGTGTGCGCGCGCGTGTGTGTTGGGGGTGCGCTGGGTGTCTAGACATTGGAGCACAGGTGGGTGGGGAGCAGCCTTGGACCTTGATGGGGTTTGTACCAGACTTTCCCAGAGAGAGCCCGAAGTCAGGAGCTGGAGAAGGCTCCTCCTTCAGGGCCCACAGAGCATGAGCTGATACCTCCCCTGGCCAGAAGAAAGAAACCTGAGAGCTGCTTCCCTGTGGCCCTGAGCAGAGTCTGCATCTGTAAACAAAGCCGCCCTTCCTCTCTGGAGACAAAGCAACACCTAAAAATAGCACGGGGAAGGCCAGGGCTGAGCAGACAGAATGGAAGCATTGGAGCATCCTCAAATCAAGGACCCACGTGGTGTGCGCGTGCGTGTGTGCGTGTGCACACATGTGTATGCACACACACATGCATGCGCGAAGGCTTCTGTCCATCCGCAGACAAACCCCGTATGCTCCGGAGGCCCGTCAGCATCTCTGCCCACTGCTCTGAGTTTCTCTTTGCTCAGCCCCTTTTCTGCCTCTTTTCCCGTCCCAGTCTCCTAGGCCTGAGTGCCATTTCGGTAACTATGTTTGCCTCCAGCTGTTCCAAAAATGATATGCTCCAGTCTCTAAGACCCTACTCTAGAATTTTTTTAAGAGAAATTTTTGCTATAGGACACATAAGCTCATCAGAGAGACAGAAAGTGAGAAATCACCCCCGGGTGGGGGGGTGGCAGGTGGATGGCCATGCCACCATTCCTTCTCTTGGGCATGCACATACACATGCCCAGTGTGAATTTTAAGCTTCCAGGTCCAGGACTCAAACTGCTGTCAACTACATGGAAGTCCAGCAACATAACCATTATTCCATCTTCTGATCCTCCCACTCTAGAATTTTATGTGCTGTTTCTAATTTTCTGCCTCCATCAAATCTTGAGCTTATCCAGGGTAAGAATCATGTTCTAGTCATTCCACAACCCCATTATGTTTCGCACAAAGTAGATGTTAGCCAATACTTGAAGGATGGGTGAGTGGATGGCTGGATGAACAGATGATTGGATGGACAGAGGTTTGGATGGATGGACGGAAGGAAAAGTGAACAGATGGATGAGTAGAAGATTGGATGGAATCTTGGGTGGCTAGATGGGTAGACGCAAGAATGAAGACCAGTGGATGGATAGATGAGTGGACAGAGCATGGATTATTGGACGGACAGACGGACGGATGGGTGGATGGGTGGATGACTGCATCCTAACGTATGTGGCCTGTGTTCCTCCAGGCATGACCTGCCAAGCACGGAGTTCCTACATGGACACCGAGGTGCTCTGGGGCCACCGGTTCACGCCAGTGCTCACCTTGGAAAAGGGCTTCTATGAGGTGGACTACAACACGTTTCACGACACCTACGAGACCAACACACCCAGCTGCTGTGCCAAGGAGCTGGCGGAGATGAAGCGGGAAGGCCGGCTCCTGCAGTACCCCCCCAGCTCCCCCCTGCTGGGGGGCTATGCCAAGGTGGGGCAGGACACTGAGGCGGAACAGGAAGAGGAGGGCGAGGACAAGGAGCTGAGTGGGTCCCGGGAGACCAGGGGCTCCATGTGAGGCCGTGGTCTCCCGGTGACCGCCACTTACTGGGTCTATGAGCATGGATGCTACAGAGCCTGGGGGAGGGGAGGAAAGGGGAACTAGCCCAGAGGGCTGTTTGTGGGCCCTGGAGGCTCCTGAGGGTCCGCATACCCAGCCCTCATTCCTCCCAGCTCAGGGCCTCTGGAGCAGGACCCCCCAGGGCAGGGGT